ACCTCTAACCCACAGGTCAGATGTGGCCTACAGCACTATGTCATCTGGCCTAAGGGCTCCCCACAGGTCTGGAAAATTGGTGGGGGGGGGGGGGGGGTGGCACTGCTCCCCTGCTACCAAATCTCCAGACCCACGGGGAGGCATGAGTATTGCACACTAGATCCAGCACCTGATCCCTGAATGCAGGGCCAGACAGGGATGGCACTGGGCTCCTGGGCCCAATCCTGGCATGTGGGGGGCATAAGAGAGTGGTGCCAGGCCCCTGGGACTCAGTTCCAGCATGCAGAGGGTAGGAGGGGGCAGTGCCAACCTCCTGGGACTCAATCCTGTTGCATGGGGGACAAGATGGGACAGTGCTAGCTCCCCAGAACTGAATTCCAACATGTGGGGGGTGAGAGAGGGAATTGCTGGGTCACTGGTATCAAATCCCAGCACACAGGGAACAGATAAGGGCAGTGCCTGGCCCCAGAGTCCAGTTCAGACTGCAGCTGGACTCTGCCCCACTCATCTGACCCACGGGGCCAAAAGGTTGAGCACCTGTGCTTTAGGGACATCCCTATTTTTCCTTGTATTAATCTTCTACAAGAGAAGTAGGCATGACCTACCTACTTTGAGATATCACTAGTGTCAACTGATTAAAACTTGGAGAACTGCCACACTTGACAGGAGTTGTACATTCTATGACAAGCAGTTACAGATCAGGGGATTTACTGGACTGAAAGGAGTAGCCAGTACAGTTTGTAAATCTTGCAAGAGAGTTTTGCCAATCTGGGCCACTTTAAAGGGCCAAGCTGCAGGATTGTGGCTGAGGCAGAAGGTGCCAATCTGTTCCTGAAAGGGGTGGCCAAAATATTTTCCTAAAACATTTTCACAGTCATTGGCCTACTCTATAAGCTGTTTGGAAAACACCATGAGCCTGGGGTAAAAAAAAAAAGTTTCTCTTTCTCTTCTGCAAAAGAATTACACAAACAACAACAGCTATTACAGATACAGCAAGAACTGCAAATTTAAGACTTTACATATAAGGAAAAGAGCCCACAGAAGAGAAAAGATGGCACTGTTAGCAACATTATATAAAACTGGGGTAATGGAAAAAACACAACCTCATTCTGTGAGGACCCTTGATTTACCTACGTGAATTGGCTTATGGAGTTAGATGCATATTGCTTCATGAGCAGGGATGCGGGTTTTTGGTTTCCCATGGGAAAACTGAGAAAAATTCAGATTTTCCTCTTTCCCCAAGAAAAATACAGAATTCTCATTTTAATGGAGAAACCTGCAGCATTTGCACTTTTGCAAAGAGCTCTCTTCAGGCTGGCAGAGTTGCAGCCTGAAAGTAGCTGGAGGGAGGGTGGTCAGGGGGCGCTATGTAACCTGCCAGATAGCCTGGAGGGTAATTCCCACAGGTAAGTCTGGTGGGGGTGGGGAGGAGGGATTGAGGCCCCCACAGGGAGGAAGGGAGTGAGTTTGGCACAGCTGGATTTGCTGCCCAACCAGGCAGTGTGTGAGGCTTGGGGCCCAGGGCCAAAATGTGTCGCTTCAGGTGGGTCATCCAGGGAGTGGAGGGTGAGGCCAGCTCCCTGCCATTCTGCATGGATCCCCCCAGATCTGTATGT